GAGGTTCCATCAGGAGTCAGTTCATGGCAGCTCTAATCCTTGCCCTCCTAGTTTCGTCCAAGATGGTTTCTCCGGCTCCAGGGTCCTCTGAGCCTGGTGAATTCAAAAGCCCAAAATTTCTTGTTTGGGCTACAAATTCCTCTGTCTATAAGTCTTCAAATTTCTAAATATTCCTATGTATATGGTTCAGATTTCAGGAACTGTCCTCTAAACCTGTGTCATCCGGTATTCTGTGTTACTGCTGCCGGAGATCCTCACTGCACTTCTACCCTATCTGACATCAAGCCCCGCCTCCTCCATTTGCTGATTTTTATACTAAATTGTTTCTCTAACTTTTGAGTTTAAAAATTCTTAGTGTATTCTGGATTGCTTGTGAATTATAGGAATTTGAAATATAGCCACTTATATTAGCTGTTGCACTGAAATGGGTGACTTTTATACCCATAAAACTTACAACTCCCACCAAAGAAGGTGAGAGAAGATGCTGATGGAATGTGATAAATTGGTGGGAATGGTTATTAACAGGGCTAACTGTGACTATAAAAACTTGGAACTTAAAATGCAGCTATAAAATGAGGCATCTCAGAAACAGGAAGGGGACTACCATCAAAGAAGACTGAGGAGTTGAGCACATCTGACCCCAACATCCCTGTGTGTTGAACCTCCTTGATTCAGAAGACAGAACTGTGACACAAGAGGATTGCCAGAGGAGTGTTAGCAGCAGAACACAGAGTCACAACATGAGACAAAATGATGGCTTTCCTGATCAATGGAGCAAATATATCTGATTGCCTGGGCAGGATGCTAGAGAGTGGGCTGCTTCAGAGCACTTAAGTGGAGAGCTATGTTTACTGACCCACTGAGCTAGAGCTGAGTGCCTTTGGCCTTTAGCTTATAAGGAAGGTAGGGGTTACCCTGTGGGCATTTATCAGCAGCATGCAAAGAACTTTGTACCATTGTCCAAGCAAAGAGAGGCCTGCCTGTGGGCATGCCTGAGGAGAGGCTGTCTTGACGAAGAACTATGTTATGGGCGATTCTGTTTCAGAATTGTATCTTGTGTAATAAACCCCATAACTCTGGGTACTGTGTGTGAGTAGTGTTTGGCCATTGTAATGAATTATCGAAACTAGTTGAATAGAGAATGTTGTGGGAGGGATGGTTTGGTGACATTTTTCTTTTATTTTTAGTTTTCCATCTGACCATCTGTGTGTGAAGTGTGAAAATGAAACAGAGATGAGACAAACCTAAGTATTTGATCACCATTTATTTTTTTTAGCAATTTTTATACACTCCAGTTTTTTTAATCCAAAGACTTGCAACACATTGTTACATTCAAACCAGGAAACTGTACAGCAGTGGCAAATAGTCTTCCTTTTCCATCTGGACATGGATGCTAGTTTCATGTAGGAAGGCCAATGAACTACAAAAGTAGGTTGGATTCATAATCTTGCCTTGCTGATAATTCCTTCAAAGTTTTCCTATCTAGAGCACATTCTTAAGAGCAGGGGACACATATTTTTCATGCTGATACCAAGTCAAAACCCACAATTAAATCCTTTAATTCTCAAAAGGTGCATCCCTGCTCTATAATAAATAATGCCATTACACACTTGTGTGGAATAAGCACCTGATTCTGATTTCTAGTGCTATTGATTAACTTACTGATTGAAGATGCACCTAGAATAGGGATACAGTGGTTTTGACAAGCAAAGAAACAACTAAAGCTGCATCTTGGTTTTTAGGGTCTTCCCATCTTTGCCATCATGCAATATGTGGCATGTTGTGATGACATTCGTTGCTGTAACAGAAAGCTTTGACTCTAGAACTGGCAATGCATTATAGTTTTTTGCTCTTTAGAAATTCAAGTCTGAATAAACTCTTAGAAAAACACCTCAACTAAACCCCAAGCTCCTTAAATGCTTTATGTTATTTTTCAAATATAGTCAGAGATATTGATCAGATATGCAACCCAAAACATTCTAACATAGCAGCCTTAGACCAAATATCTTATATTCTTTGGAAGGAACCCAATAACAAGGAATTGAATACAGTTTAAAAGAAAAAAAAGAAAGACGTATCATGATTAATTGCTTGTGTATAGCAGTTTCTTATTTCTCTAGTTGCTATTAGGAGTTGATTTCCCCTTTCTTTATTATTCTTCCTTAGAAACAGCGCTTCTGCTCTTGGACATATTCATAGAGTGGAGTGCTACTATGGAAACTCTGAGAACTTGGGCCTGTACTATCTTTTCCATAGCTATCTCCTATCAGATAATAATTGCCCCCTTGTCCATATACCTCATTGCTAACGGATAATTTATTGGTAGTACTAGATGTAGACTGTCCATAGTAGGGTGTACATTGTCCAAAGCCACAACCCGAGGAACTTTCTACTTTTTCAGAACTACTTCCTGATTGTCCTTCATTAGAACACTGACCTGAACTAGACTCATGCTGACCAGAAGTCAAAGACTGATTTGAGTTAGATCCATGTTGCCCACCACTAGAAGAATGACTTGAGCTAGATCCGGGTTGGCCACAGTTAGAAGACTGACCTGATCCAGACTCACTTTGCATATGGCTAGAAGAATGACCAAAACCAGATTTGTGTTGTCCATATCTAGAAGACTGACTTGAGCTAGATCCTTGTTGGCCACAGTTAGATGACTCTCCTGAACCAGACCCATGTTGGCTATGACTGGAAGAAATACCTGAGCCAGACCCATGTCTAGTACGACTAGAAGACTGACCTGAGCTAGATGTATGTTGACCATTGCTGGAAGACTGAACTGAGCTGGATCCTCGTTGGCCACAGCTACATGAATGACCTGAACCGGACTCCTGTCTCTCATGACTAGAAGACTGACCTGAGCTAGACCCATGTTGACCACTGGTAGATGACTGTCCTGATCCAGAACCATGTTGACTATGACTGGAAGACATACCTGAGCCAGACCCATGTCTAGTATGACTAGAAGACTGACCTGAGCTAGATCTATGATGACTATTGCTAGAAGAGTGACTTGAGCTGGATCCTCGTTGGTCACAGCTAGACGAATGACCTGAGCCAGACTCATGTCTATCATGACTGGAAGACTGACCTGTGCTAGATCCATGTTGACCACTGGTAGCAGAGTGTCCTGAACCAGAACCATGTTGACTGCGAGAGGAAAAATGACCTGAGCCAGACTCATGTCTACTATGACCAGAAGACTGACCTAAGCCAGATTCCTGCTGACCATAGCTGGAAGATTGACCTGAGCTGGATCCTTGTTGACCACAGCTAGATGACTGACGTGATCCAGGCCTGTGTTGACTATGGCTGGAAGAATGACTTGAGCCAGACTCGTGTTTTCCACTGCTAGAAGACACACCTGAACTAGATCCTTTTTTGCCACAAGTAGATGACTCTCCTGAACCAGACCTATGTTGGCTATGACTGGAAGAAATACCTGAGCCACACCCATGTGTAGTTCGACTAGAAGACTGACCTGAGCTAGATGTATGTTGACCATTGCTGGAAGACTGGCCTGAGCTGGATCCTCGTTGGCCACCTCTACATGAATGACCTGAAACAGACTCATGTCTCTCATGACTAGAAGACTGACCTGAGCTTGACTCATGTTGACCATGCCTAGAAGACGTACCTGAGCTAGACCCATGTTGACCACTGGTAGACGACTGTCCTGATCCAGAACCATGGTAACTATGACTGGAAGAAATACCTGAGCCAGACCCATGTCTACTATGACTAGAAGACTGACCTGAGCTAGATCTATGGTGAGCATTGTTGGAGGACTGACCTGAGCTGGATCCTCGTTGGCCACAGCTAGACGAAT